CAGACTAATAGATTAAATATAATATTTTCAATAAGCAAAATACTTTGCAGTATTTCAAAAAATAATTTAAATTAACTGGAAGGAGTTTTTAATCGTTAAAAATCACTGATTTCAGCGTCATTTTTTTTTAGCTATTTGCCAGTACAAGGTAAGTAAAAAAAATCTTTCAAAAATATAATATACTTTTCTGAAACTTTATTGATTTGAGGAATATTAACTGATTTAAAGTTCTGATCTGAAACTAGTATTACTTACTTTTAATTTAAAATATCGCAAAATGCAGTTTTTTTTTTTCACGGAGGTAGGTGTTTATTTAAGGTATTGACAAGTTGACAGATTGACTGACAGCCGGAAGTTCATCCATTTTTTCTACAGGGGAAATCCACGTAAAAGTTACTTGAGCTATATAACTGTTGTGGAGTTATTTCGCAGTGGAGGATTGTATTTGTACTGAGTCAGGTTCGACGTACAAAACGTTAGGAACTTGGTATTACGCAGAGTAATCTAGTCGTGGTCGTTGATACTTTCGTATTCAGCTAACTGTCGTCCGACATCGACTGACTGACCGACGATATTCAGTCACCCCCCACCCCCCGAGGGCGTCATGTGGCACAAGGCCTTTTTAACGTGGGATCTCCGAGCCCGTGGGATCGGCCAAAAATATGCCCATTGAACCCGTATAAACGGGTTCAGGGTCGGTTTACCTCCCCGAAACAGAATTCGCCCTTCGGCGTAGCCTCCTTCGGGTTCCTCTCCGCCCAAAGGCAGAGAGTTCAACCGAACAGCCAGTCGACTGACGATATTCAGTCACCCCCCCGCTGGGGCAGCATGTGACACAAGGTCGGTTATTTATTGTGGGTTCTCCGAGCCCGTGGGCTCGGCCCAAAAATATGCCCATTGAACCCGTACAAACGGGTTCAGGCCCGGTTTACCTTGGCGTAGCCTCGTTCGGGTTCCTTCCCGCCCGAAGGCAGAGAGTTCAACCGAACAGCCAGTCGACTGACTGACGGATGGACCCCCGTTTCTATTACTACTTCTACTTATATTAGGTGGGTGAGTCTATTAACTATATAATAGGTGTGTTCCACAATAACAATAACGTGAAAGCCTTTTTTATATAATTGTCATCCCCCTTCTCTTGGACATGAGTAGAGGCTTACGCCTTGTTTCTTGTTTAGGAAGGAAGGGGTTTCTGGTACTCTCTCTCTCTCTCTCTCTCTCTCTCTCTCTCTCTCTCTCACTGGCCTCTGTATCTCCAGTTGTCTTGATCTATCCACTACTCTTCTCCTCATCCTTTCTTCTATCACTCCTATCTGATCTTGCTCCACATTTTCTGTAACCCCTTGCGTCCCAGTGGCTTTCCGCCTTGCTTGGGGTGAAACGCTTAAAAAAAAAAAAATTGTTATTGTACTACCCAGTAATTTTAAAATTTAAAAAAAATATCCGTTATCTAAAGTTTTATTGAATTTTAGGTACTTTGTCTTTAAATTCGCTCTTCTTTTTCTGATATTGACGTGTATGAACGTCCGTATTTACAAAATACACACACATTTTATATACACACACTCCAAAAAAAAAAGAAACATTCAAAATATTTTTAAAATATTGGGGTGGGGAGGTCGCTGAATTTTAGTAAGCTTTTCTATTTAAGTAAATGCTCTGTTTATAATAAACAGTATTAAGCAACATTTAGCGGCCTGAATGTCCGAGAAATTTTCATAGAAAATATTTGTCCTCCGACAGGAATCGAACCTGTATCCTATATGGAACCATCATATAGCTCGACGTGCCTGTAACCGATTTGGCCACAGAGGTTTGCAAGGTCGAATTTACTGCCTTCAATCTTCCATGAATCTCTCACGTACATTCATATCTACTCGATGCGTATCCAAATGTAATTTATTAAGGATTAAAACCTTAATTAGTGAATGTTTTCTCTAAATAAGGTCATTATATATATATATATATATATATATATATATATATATATATATATATATATATATATATATCTTACTTATTATAAAACGCAGATTGTGTGTGTGTGTCTGTACGTTTATATATTGGATCGGATTTCTTACATTTTTCAACCGATTTCAACAAAACTTCACAGGACTACGTAAAATTACCTTGCGGTGGTTCTGACAGCGCCCAAAATTGGAAAAACACAATTGTTTTTGCAAGAAATCAATTTGAAAACACAATTAAGAGGCATCGCTGTCGCGAGAATAAAAGGGGGACAACTCATATCGAGTTATACTTATTATGAAACCAAGGTTGTTTGTGTGTGTGTGTGTGTGTGTGTGTTCGTTTATATATGGGATCGGATTTCCTACATTTTTCAACCGATTTCAACAAAACTTCACTTTTTTTTGGCAGGTAGTGTTTCCTATTGTCTTGCACACTTTTTTCTTTATTTTTACATTCAGAATGCTTTAAAAATTCCATTTACAAGACAATTGTTTATAATAAAATTCTATTCAATCAGTAGACTCATAACGATTGAAAACAATGTTTTTGTTTGAGTTTGGGTTTGACCAATTCGTAAAAAAAACAAAAAACTAATTAAGACATGCATGTCCGTCAACCTTAAACAATAATCTTTGTCAATTTTATTTTTCAGTCTTTATGATGGTCGATACTTGATCTATCTCTTACTGTTACATCCCCGGGCAACGCCGGGATCTACTGCTAGTTTTATCTAAAAATACGAGTGAGGACAATTTGTTGTAAATGGCGCCCTACCGGGTCAACACTAACATTCCAAAACAAACACCAAACATCTAACATTGTCCTCCAATTAAAACCCCAGCAGGGACGAAATAATCGTTTCCATCTTCCGTTCTTAAAAATAACTCCATGTAAATATAAAATAAAATAAAAAGTTCATGAACTTTGTCTCTTTTCGCTTGTTCACATCAGTGGCAATTTGAAATGCAGACAAAAATAAGGACTGTCGCGTTTTAGGATAATCCCCATTGTTGAATTAATGATGCCTTTTTGGCAGCCATGTTTTTAACATTGGAGACGAATTTCGTTAGTCTCGCCAGAAGAATCAACCAAAAACACTCATCGTGACTCCATCAAAGCAGTTAACCTATATCACTCTGTATGCGATTTCGTTTGCTGTTTAAAAAGGTGCAGTGGAGTAATGGATAGCGGCTCGGATTGAGTAATGGAATTTCAGTCGAATCCATTACATTTACTTACGTGCCAATACCCTTGGGAAAGGTATGAATCCTCACCCCCCCCCCCCAGCATCTATGGGTTAATAACAGGACTGACTGGGTTCTGTAGCCTTGAATGGCAACTGGACTACCACAGAAAGAAATAGCAACTTACTGCGGGGGAAAAAATCTGCCTCGTCAATCATGTATCTTTCGATACATGATTGCATAATCGTGTATCACGCATTGCACATAACTGACTGAAATTCCCTTACGCGCTAAGAACCTTGGGAAAGGTATGAATCCGCTTCTTCTCCCTCCATCTATGGGTAAATAGTAAGATAGATAGGGTTCTATAGCCTTGGATGGCAAGTGCTCTACCGCAGAAAGAAATGGCAACCTACTGAGCGAAAAAATTCTGCCTTCGTCAGTCAGGTATTGAAAATTACATGATTGTCAAAGCGTGTATCACACATTGCACATAACTAACTGAAATTCATCTACATGTTAATACCCTTGGGAAAGGTATGAATCCGCTTTTTCTCCTTCAGCTATGGGTAAATAGCAGGACAGACAGGGTTCTATAGCCTTGGATGGCAACTGGACTACCACAGAAAGAAATGGCAACCTGCCGTGTCAATCATGTATCGAAATATACATGATCGCCTGTGTGTGTATCACGCATGGCAGATGACTCACTGACTGATAAAAGTTTATTTTGCCACTGAAGGTGGTCCTAATCCCTGAAGAATAGTGTATTTAATTTCATAGTCGTGCTATCATATCCTGCTCTGGCAACGGAAAACAACTTTGAGAGGATATTAACAATAAGGCTACAGCAATTGAGAGCTCTTGAAATAGAATGCAGTGGAAAGGGAAGTGATATCACTAATGGAGAATGCTAAAGGTTAAAATATCACTGCTAGTATCTCTATCTATAAAAGGCAGGATGTGTGTGTGTGTGTGTGTGTGTGTGTGTGTGTGTGTGTAACGAAAGCACAGCCGCAATTTTTGACGCATTTGCACCAAAATTTAAATGCACATGCTCCAAGTTAGCGTGAAGGCCAAGACCGACTTTGCATTTCCCAACTCTCATCGATAGTCGAAATAATCGATTTTTTTCATGCTTCTACGGAACTTTTTCATGTAGTTTGCGGCCATTTTGTACTGGCCAGAATGAGAGCCAATAGTTGGCTGCCACGAATAGGCAGGAAGATTCTATTGGTCAGCATGAGAGCCAACAGCTGACTGACACTAATGTTAACTAGCATGCTAGCATGCAAAAAAAAAATCGATAGCTGCATTCGTCACAAGTGCGAAAAATTTAAATCTGCATGGCACTTTACTCCAATTGGCTCATTCGCTTGCTTAAACTCAATGTTGATTCTAATTCCGCAGAACTGGGTTGGATGTGAAAAAGTATTTGTTGTTAACATTCTTTTTTCAGTCGGTTTTTCCAGCTACGAGTCCTTTTTTAAAGCTGATCGTTTTGTGTTCATTTTGTTTAGTTCTTTTTTCGTAACAGATTTAATGTTTAGTATAGAGCTTTGAAAAAATTCTCAGTGTGAGATAGGCAAGAAGTAAGGCATGTAGCAACATCAGCACGGCAAAGGGCACTTCTTTAAAGGCAAGGAAGGGCAAAAATATTTTAAGTCAAGTGATAGCGATTGCTGTACGAGTCGTACGATTTTCGAATCAAACACGGGCAACGCTGGGCCATGCTGCCTGTAAAGGTTAAGTCATTTCTCGTATAAAGGCATCCATATCTAAATTTTATATTCTTATCTCTTGTATTAAGGCTTCTGACTTCATGCCGAGAAATTTCTCTTTTACACTGAAGAGAAGAGGGAAAAATAAGGTAAGAAAAAAAAAGAAGAAAGACGATGAAAAATGGCGGTAGTAGCAATTACAAAAAGAAAAGAGAAAGAAAGAGAGAAGTGATAGAGCTTGGGGAGGGCAATAAATTAGAAAGAGAATAACAAGGAGCAGGGAAAAGAAAACGACAGAAAAAAAAAAAACAAGAATCGGCGAGGCGAGTTCGAATTCCAGTCTAGTTTTGTGTTCACCCTGGGAAATACATGAATCCATCTCTTTTCTAGCTATCTGCTAAATAGCAGGGTAGACCGTGTTCTACAGTCTTGAGCTGCAGTCGGTCTAGAAGAAGAGCAAGTTTGACTTAAAAACCGTCGAGACGACAATAGGAAACCATCTAACTTTACAACGATGACATGGCAATTCGGAGCTGTATGGAGGCATATTTATGTATGAAAGTAGCCGGTACTTTGTTACGATTATTCTTATTACAATACCAGTAACAACGACAACAATAATAACAATGAAATAAGTGGAACAACTACATTGAATCAATAGCTGCATCTACTGCAAGGAAAGTTGGTTTCTCGTCAGAGTTCATCTTACACATCTACAAATCAACCATTCGTCCTTGCATTGAATACTGTTGCCATATCTGGTCTGGTCTCCCTGTCGTTCATCTCAAGGTCCTCGACAAAATCCAAAGAAGTATCTGTAATGTAATCGGACTTGAATTGATTTCTCGTCTTCAGACACTTTCTCTAAAACGTGATGTGGCTTCCCTCTGTCTTTTCTACAAATATTATCATGGCTACTGCTCTGACAAGCTTTTTTCACCTGGTGCTCCGACTACACGAATTTAAGCGTGCTATTGATTGGCATCTAGATCCTACTTTTTTACTGATGAAATAGTTAAATGTAACCGCCACTTCTGCTCCAACAGTTTTTTCTTCGTACTTCCCGACATTGTAACTCCCTTCCTCTCACTTACTTCCCTGATAATTACAATCTTCAAAAATTTAAATGCAACGTCAATCGCCATCTTCTGTTGCTTTGATCCCTGCCCCTTTTACCTTTTCTCAATCGCTCCTACACCCACACTTTTCTCTCACTTTCACACTCCGCAATCTCCTGCTTGCTAGTGGCATTCCTGCCTTGGTTGGAGTGAAATGCTTAAAAAATAGATAAATAAATAAACATAATAAGCGTTCGGTCATCCTGTAATCTTCTCGGGAAGTCTATAATGATGTTACATCAGTTTCTGCAGCAAGTAGCAATTCTACCGTATAAAACTTTAAATTCAAAGTTGTTCTTCTCCTAGTCTAGCTTCCAACCAAGGCTTGAGAGCTAAGCGTGATAACTACGTTATATATTATTTATTTATCCGAAAGATATCTGTGCGAAAGTGAACGTAACGGCTTCAGCGGGAATTTTGAACTCTGGTTACCAATGCCATTTTCGACGCCGCTCGTTACATCTTCTGCATCAGGTAACGAATTTTGATTTCAGTTGATTGTAGGTGTTAACAACTACATCTTTTATCCGGTCGAATTAAGACAGGCTAGAGTAAATATTCCTGTTAAGTTGCCTGAGCGTAACCAGCTGGGCATGATGCTTTCGGAGCTGACGCATGCGCAGCTCCGTTCATGTGCGGGAGTAGTTGGGAAACAAAATGACCGGGTATCGAGAGGGTTGTTTTTGTTTTGTTTTTTTAAAAAAAAATAGTTTGAACGATGAGGCAACTCGGGAATCCAATCTAGACAAATGAGAATTCGCTCACCTCAATCGGAGACCGTCTTAACAAAAAGGGTTAGCCGACATGAAGGTATTTCTAACCGGGCCACACCTTCAAGATTATCCGCTACGTTTATCAAAACCTGTCACCACATCACATTTGGCTGCGATGCAGATGCCTGTTATACACTTATCAGACTGGTTGTCATGATAAATATATTAGGTGTCGTATATTTCTACCCCAGCCTCACTTTCTTAGAGTGCATGTCTCTCACTCAATAATAATAATAATAATAATAATAATAATAATAATGATGAGTATTATTAAGGAATCTAGTCAGATAGAAGTGATCAGTTATGATTAAATTATATCCAAGAAGTGATGTCTAAGGCAAAATTATATTCTTGAAGTATCTAGGACAAAATTATATCCAATAAGTGTCCATCTAAGGTAAAATTATATCCTAGACGTGACCGTCTAAGGTAAAATTATATCCTAGAAGTGACCGTCTAAGGTAAAAATATATCCTAGACGTGACCGTCAAACGTAAAATTATATCTTACGGTTGTGAGCATTGGAAAAATTATATCCTAGAAGTGACCATCTAAGGTAAAATTATATCCTAGACGTGACCGTCTAAGGTAAAATTATATCCTAGACATGACTGTCTAAGGTAAAATTATATCCTAGACGTGACCGTCTAAGGTAAAAATATATCCTAGAAGTGACAGTCTAAGGTAAAATTATATCCTAGACGTGACCGTCAAACGTAAAATTATATCTTACGGTGGTGAGCATTGGAAATAAAATTAGTCTATGAGGTGTTTCGGTAGTGGAACGAACATTAGCGCAGAATATGAAATCGGTAAACCGAAGCAAATTCCGGGTTAGTATAGACGCCCGGTTCACACTCCTTTCCAGTCTCTTGAACAAGAGTAGAGGTTTATCCCTTGTTTCCGGTTTAGGATTGGCTTTCCGGTTCCTTCTAAAGTCTTCTCATTTTCTTTAGCTCTTAGTGACCCCTTGCAATTTTGTAGCCTTATCGCCCTGTTTGGGGTAAATTGATTAAAAAAAAAATTCTTTTTCGCACAGATGAACCTGGGAAAGACTAAAACCTTTTCTTCTTCTCCAAACTATTGGTTAAATAGAAGAGTCGATTAATGCTCTTTAGCCTAGGCTGGCAACCAGTCTAGGAGAAGTAAAACGGAAACCACTACGCTATCGCTCCCAAGAATACATGGCAATTTCACAGAATAATAAAGAAAAGGAATCTGTGGAGAGTCATCGCCGGTAACGGCCTGAAGAGCGACGGTATTGAGAAAAATATTAGATTAGATTTTAAAAAATGGGAAGCCTCAATTTCGCATATAAAGCGCAGAGCAATTTTTGAGCCGTTTTTTTATTTTTTTTTATTTATTTATGCTTTTTTTTAAAAATAAAAACAAAAAATGACATACCTCTTATAAACTGTCAAAGGGTGTAAATGAATGCCACTCAGATTTTTTTTTTTTTTTAGTAAAAACAACATTTACAAAATTAGGGAAAGAAAGAAATAAAAAAAAATAACTTGTTCGACACGGTGGCGGAGGAGATTTTGTCTATCTGACACGGTTTTGTCTGTAAGAGGCCGACATTTGGCTCGTAATCTGATACTCAATATCCTTGCTTGTTTTGGAACGTCGAGATCTGGTAAGTTGCGTATTAAATGCAATCCCGAGTCACCAACAAAATAACACTTATATTCATTTAATTAAGACCGATCTGCCGCAAAGAAATTCTATCCGAAAAGGAACTGTCTCGATGCATTTAGCCACGTAACTGATAAATTCTATACATTATTTGATCCGGTATTTAGGTAGATACGTAGTTGAGAAAATAAGAATTTATTTTACACAAGCCATACTATTTTTTTTTACTGATCCTCTTGTTTATCGACGCACTCCAAAGTTGTTTTTTTTTATTAATCATGTACAGCGGATATGACAGAGTGAAAATTGCATTAATAATAAAAGTGTCGGACATTGATCTAAACTGATATATGAAGTGAGTATTTAAGTCTTAGTTAAGAATTTGCAGTGCAGCACAGAAATACGTCGATCCATAAAAAAAATTATTTGAATGGCAATGGTAACTTTTCTCCGATTTAAGATATATTGTTTTATGGTTAGACTATGTTGGTTAACTTAGCGACATACCAACCTTCATTGGATAATTTAATGTCAAATATAAATTAAAAAAAAAAAAAGCTGGCATTGGTCCGGTTTTATAGCAGAGTCTAAAAGGGCAGACATCGGTTCGGTTTAACACAAGCGTGCAAAAGGTAGACACAGCTCTGGTCTACACAAGAGTAAAAACGGCAGACAGATGTCGAGATTTATACCCGAGCTTAAAAAGTAGACATAACTTTGGCTTATACTATAGTCAAAAGGGCAGACATCGGTCCGGTTTAACACAAGCGTGAAAAAAAAAGCAGCCATCGTTTTGGATTTACACGAGAGAGGTCTGTTTTTACACTAGAGTCAAAAAGGCAGACATAGGTCGGTCTTGATATCAGAGTCGAAAACAGACGCAAAGCTGGATTTACACGGGTGTCAAAATGGCATACATAAGCCGGGTTTTACACCAGAACCAAAAAGGTAGACATAAGTCGGGCTTTACACAAGAGTCAAAAAATGCTGACATAGATTTTGATTTACTCAAGAGTCAAAGGGACAAACGAAGTTCCGTTTTTGCACCAGAATTTAAAAGGTAGATCCGATTTATTAAATAATAAATTCAAAAGTGCAGACATCGGTCCGGTTTAATGGAAGAATGAAAAAAATCAGTCATCGATCCGGTGTTAGACGAGAGTCAAAAAGGCAGACACAGCTCTGGTTTATACTAGATTTTAAAAAGGTACGCATAGGTCTGGTTTATACTAGAATCAAAAGCACAGCCACCGGCCCGGTTTAACACAAGAGTCAAGAAGGCTGACATCAGTTTGGTTCTACATCAGAATCTAAAATATAGACATAGGTCTGATTTTTACTCGAATCAAAAGGGCAAAATCTGGCTTTACTCAAGAATAAAAAAGACAGACACGGGTCGGGCTTTAAACCAATTTCGAAATTGTAGTCATAGGTCCGGTTTATACTAGAGACAAAAAGGGGCATATACAGATCGAATTTTACAAAATAGTCGAAAAGGTGGACTGGTTTATAGCCGTGGGTTCGAATATCTTCACGGAAGGTAACCTTTTTTTATGTTAAATCTTAACCTTTCTCCAGGGTATACAGTCAAAGTATTCTATAAACCAGCGACAGGGTCATTGTTTTATGCTTTTTTTTTCTCCTTCTATATACAATGCAACCTCGGTTCTCGAACGTCTCACATGTCTAACAAATTGGTTTTCAAACAGAATATTCAAGATGAAAATACCTCGGTTATCAAACAAAATTTCGGTTCTCGAACAACATTGCCGAACCGAGTTAACCCGAATGGAATCATTTCTGAGTCGACCGCCATGTTGTATACATTCGTGTGTTGTGCCGTGCTTTTCTTTTCCAATTTTATTGTACTGTGACTTTTTTCCTCTACATTGATTCCTATTGGAAAAATAGTTTCGGTTTACGAATATTTCGGGTTACGAACGAACTTAAATTCGTGAACCAAAGTTCCACTGTACTATGTGAGAACGACCGTTGAGTATTGCTCATTAGAATATGAATAGTACTTTTATATATAAAGCTGAATAGTGCCTTTAAACGCAAATTTTCCCTGATCTCGAAACGTTCATATCTGCCTAGGTTCATATGCTAACGTAAACAAAGCAATTTTTAAAGAAGTGACGATTTTTTTAAAATTTATTAAGCCGACAGAGTTTATTAATTAAAAATTATTTTATTGTATATCGGTATTTGAGTAGACGCTCCATTTATTTATTAAACAGTAGATTTATTTTCGTCTTCCGGCCTGAATATTCGGGAGGTAGTGTTAAAGAATAGATATGCGATCTACGGCAGGATTCGAACAGTAAATTTTCACCCTAGCTCATACAACATTTCACCCTTCCTGGCAGATCTTCTAATAGCACAGTGTGGAATACCTACTTACAAAAGGGATGGAATGAAAAAGAAAAAAGGAAAAGACTCTAAATGAATTTAGCTAATGATAAAAAAATAAATTCTAAAATTTCCAGTACTCCTCTGTCGTGTGCATGTGCAGTCCTACCAAGATAACAAATTTAGTCCGATGAAGTCCTGATGGGTGAAACGCGTCACAAGTAAACTTTTCCCACTTTGTTTTACACACACACATGTATATATATATATATACATACATACATATATATATATATATATATATACATACACACACACACACACACATATATATATATATATATATATATATATATATATATATATATATATATATAAGTTTCGTTAAAGACAACTGACAAGGTTTTCCTATAAGCGTTTTATTTAAATTTTTTTGTGTTTTCTTTTCTGGACACAAACTGCGTAAAAACTGTCAAAATTTTCTGCATTTCCGATTAGATGACTTTGTGGTTAAGACGCTCTCTAGACATTTATGTCGTAGTGTATTATTTTCTCCTTTGATCAGAGTAGCATTTTTTATATCAAAGTTGTGGTCAGTCTCGTTACGGTGGAAAACCAACGCATTTGATGTATTATTTTGTATAACGTCCCTTTCTGTTCATATAATAATTTATTTAGATTCCTTGAGGTTTCTCCGGTGTTTTTTTTTGTGACAATTATTACAGGTGATAAAGTAAACTCCTCCCTCAAGTTTTAGCCTATTGTTTTGTTTATTGACTAAGTTTTTTTATTGTTTGGAATGTAGGAGTAACGACTTTTATGCTGAGGTTAGATAGATGCTTTTCAGACTTACTATTAAGACAGGAATAAACGTTTGTGTCACCAGTAGAGATACCTATATATATATATATATATATATATATATATATATATATATATATATATATCGTTTGCTAATTGAGTACTATGGCCAGCTATTGACGCATCGCTCTTCAGTTATGTGCTTATATACTCAGTTTTTTATCCCAAGGTAAACAAAGCAATTTCTAAAGAAGTGATGGATTTTTATTTATTAATCCGATAAATTTTTTATTATGTAAACGTTATTTTTTACTGGATATCCATATTTGAGTCGATGCCCCGTTTATTTATTAAACAGTATATTTATTTATTTTCATCTACAGGTCGGAATATTTGAGAAATCTTATAATGGAAGTCTTAATAATAAAAAAGAAAAAGTCAACACCCAATAACATTAACTACGAACACGGCCATATGTGCTGACAGTATTTGAAAAATATAACATTCCTATAACACCTGATGCATACACAGCCTACACATTCAGTTAAAAAGTAAATAAAATTTCTTTTATTTTGATTACAGTTTCATTATTCTATCTGGTTTAGAACTTATTTTATCGGGTAGCGGATTTTCCTTATCAATCAACGTTCGTAATTTTTAAAGAGAAATAAATTTCCTTCATTTTGATACCAGTTTCATTATTCTATCTGGTCTAAAATTCGAAACCTTACTCATCACTCAACCCTCGAACTAATTCGACTTTAAATAAATAATGTTGTTTGAAGTTTCGCTTTTCTTATTTCTGTTATAAGGAAATTAATTACATATTTAATTACAATAACAGTAAATACTGCTTTTTTTTTTTTTACAGCGGACATGGATAACTCCTCCATTAGATTACAAACACAGTATCAAACAAAGCCTTTCATAGAATATTACCAAACAGATAGATATGCAGATTTCCTGTGATTTTACAGACAATAGCATATTTGCCAGATGTATTGAATGGCAGCGCCATCTGCTGGTAAAGTCCAGCAGGTGGCAATATTGTGTAGGATGTTGGGAAGGGGATAATAATCTATTTACTCTGGAACGAAAAAAAGGGTCCCAATAAAAGAAATAAAAAATAATAATTTTGTGAGGGTGGATAAGTGAAATGTAATTTTTTTTTTTTTTTTTTAAATCGTAAATTTTAATAAATTAATGTATAGACGTAAAATTCAGTTGTTTAAATTCAAATGAGCGTTACCCTTGAAAAAAGAAAGAAGGAATTCTGGAGTAAATAAAAAATATTCTGGATTTAAAAACAACAACAAAGTTAAAAAAAGACTTAAAACAACAAAAACAAAAAAAAATGCTATATACCTTCTTTTGTTTCAAAGTCTATTGAAAACCCAACAAAAGATAGCAATTTCAGAAATTTAAAGTATTTTGGGGGGGGGGTTACGATTTAATTTAGTTATGGTCCATACAAAAGGAGGAATTCAAAGATGAAAAAAAAATGATTTTCATTTAGCTGGGGAAAGTCACTCAGTCAGTTATGTGCCATGCGTGATACACGCTTAGGCGATCATGTATTGTTCGATACATGACTGACGAGGCAGATTTTTCCTTGCAGTAGGTTGCCATTTCTTTCTGCGCTAGACCAGTTGCTATTCAAGACCATAGAAGCCAGACTGACCTGCTATTTACCCATAGCTAGTGGGGGAGAAGAAGAGGATTCATATCTTCCCCAAGGTTATTAGCACGTAAGTGAACGTAATGGATATCAACTGGAATTTGAACTCGGCTCTCCGATTCCTCAATCTGAGCCGCTATCCATTACTCCACCGTAATGTTGTTATTTTAACAAGAGGGGGATAAAATAAAGTATTCAAGAGAAATAAAACTATCAATTTATATTTAAGTGTAATAATATATATCTACTTTTGTATTGAGCCCGTTTTAAATTAATGTTTTGAACGCTGAAATGTTACTCTTCGTTCTTTTTTTGTACATTTATATATATATATATATATATATATATATATATATATATATATATATATATATATATATATATGTATATATATATATAAAGGTATAAATCCGTTGGTATATAATCCAAGTGTATCCCAGTAATATAAAATATTAAAACTGATCCACAAAAGAGCTCAATGTATTTATTATTACCGAGCAAATAATTAATAAACAATAAAATCCAATATCACCTCATCACACCGGTTGTCTGTCTCATCAACCCCGGCGTGGACTGAATTCGTGTAAGAAATAGAAATTTAACTGTGAAAGCTATATATATTGCATTATATATATATATATATATATATATATATATATATATATATATATATATATATATAATACAATTGTAATAGTACCTTTTGAAATGCGTAAATCTGTAAAATTCAAGGTCAGTCAGTGCGAATAGAATTTTGGTAATAAATTGCTAAATAAAGAAGCTGAGTGAAAATAAGCGTCAATAGATAAAAAGAATGAATCATAAAATGTACGAAGTGTCTGAAAGTTTGTTACTTATTGATAAATATATATAAAGACGGGGACAAAGAAAGAAAAAGAAAGAGATTAGAATAAAAAGAACGAAAAGGAATTCATGAGAAAGAAAGAAGAGCTTTGAAAGAAAAAAAGGTAAGAATAAAAAGGAAATACAAAGAAATAAGAAAGAAAGTGAAAGAAAAGAAAAAAATGAAAGAAGACCTAAAAATGAAAGAAACCAAAAGCAGTGATGGGAAAGATAAAACGAAATAAAGAAAGAAGAAAAAAAAAGAATGAAAGAGTGAGATGTGAAAGAAAGAAAGAAAGAAAGAAAGAAAGAAAGAAAGAAGTTAAAACAAAGAAAGAAAAAAGATAAGAATAAAAAAAACCAAAGGAAGTGATGAGAACGAAAGGGAAAGAAATAAGCCCAAAGAAAGAAAGAAAGAAAGAAGGAAAGAAAGAATACTTAAAAAAGATAAAAGAAAGAAAGAAAGAAAGAAAGGGAAAGACATAAGGAATAAGGAATACGGATGACCAAAGAAAGAAAGAAAAAAAGAAATAAGACCTAAGAACTAAAGAAAGAAACAAAGAAAGAAGACTTAAGAAACAAAGAACATCTAAGAAAGAAAGAACGAAAGAAAGAAAGAAAGGGAAAGAAAGAAGACCTAAGAAAGAAATTACGTAAGATGACCCAAGAAAGAAGGAAAAAACAAAAAAGAAAGCAAGAAAACCCAAGAATGAAAGAAAGAAAGAAGAATAAAAAAGAACAAAAAAGAGAGATGAGAAAGAAAGGGCAATAAAAAAGAAAGAAAAATTTAAAGCAAAGAAAAAAAGAAAGAATAAAAATGAAAGAAAGAAAGTTGGTGAAAGTGGTGAGTCGCAGAGTCGGACCGAGACCATATCAGCATCCCGCACAATTCTTACTCATCTCGTCAGTCTAATTCTATCTATCTATCTATCTATCTATCTATCTATCTATCTATCTATCTATCTATCTATCTCATTCTGCCCATATCTATCTATCTATCTATCTATCTATCTATCTATCTATCTATCTATCTATCTATCTATCTCATTCTGCCCATATCTATCTATCTATCTATCTATCTATCTATCTATCTATCTATCTATCTATCTATCTATCTATCTCATTCTGCCCATATCTATCTATCTATCTATCTATCTATCTATCTATCTTGCTAGCTACCTCGCGATCTGTCAGTCTAGACAAATATATCTATTTGCAGCGTACCTTCGTCGACAGTGATCGATTTTTGGGCACAGAGAAATCGAATACTAATTTTCCAAGGCGGTGAGGAAAAAAGAAAAAAAAAGCTGGGTACAATACAGCGTCCCTACTCCGAGAGCAGATAGTGCATTTGTATTTGCAATTACTATCGGATAACCCTTAATATTTATTTATCCATATAAGATCAAAGCAAATAACTTCTACTCTTTTGAAAGTCTGCTCAGTTCATTTTGGGTCCCATGATTTTGGTCACATGCCGGTCTGACGCTTTATTCTTAACAAACTCCATCATTAAACGTTGCTCGTCTATCTTGTTCGCTTTTCCTCGATGTATACGATAACACAGATTGGTATAATTAACTTAAGAGTTGGGTCCAAAGATAGGGCGAAGCAGACATTTCAATAAATCTTAAAACATTCTCTTCACGATGAAAAAAAAAAAAAAAAAAAAAGATGTGTGATAACGTCTAAAATGACTCAGAGATCATATTTGGAGCGAGATATCATCCGGGTGTTTGTGGAACGCGAAAAGAAGTCAGCATTGTTTCATCTTTCTTTTCTTGTTTTTTTTTTTTTTTTTTTCGTTTGAATATGGTGGTAAGAAAATCCGAGATGTTGGAAAGAAAAAGGAAATAAAAAAGAAAGAAAGAAAGAAAGCAATAGAATATAGAAAGAAAGAAAGAAATAAAGAACCGAAGAAAGAGCAGAATAGAAAGAAAAAAGAACGAAAGAAAGAAATGAAAGAATAATAAAAGGGATGATAAAGAAAAAGGCGAAAGCAAAAGGGAAAGAAAGAAAAGAAGGAAGGAACAGAGAAAAGAAAGAAACTTAAAAGAAAGAAAACAAGGAAAAAAAGGAAGTGGACAAAGAGAGAAACGGAAAGATAGAAAGAAAAAAAGAACGAAAGAAAGAATAAAAAAAGTGATAATAAAGAAAAAAGACAAAAACTAAAAGTGAAAGAAAGAAAGGAAAGAATAGAGAAAGAAAGAAAGTTAAAAGAAAGAAAACGAAGAAGTGGAGAAAGAGAAAAATGGAAAGAAAGAAAAAAGAACGAAAGAAAGAATAAAGAAAGTGATAATAAAGAAAAAAGACAAAAACTAAAAAGTGAAAGAAAGAAAGGAAGGAATAGAGAAAGAAAGAAAGTTAAAAGAAAGAAAACGAAGAAGTGGAGAAAGAGAAAAATGGTAAGAAAGAAAAAAGAACGAAAGAAAGAATAAAGAAAGTGATAATAAAGAAAAAAGACAAAAACTAAAAGTGAAAGAAAGAAAGGAAGGAATAGAGAAAGAAAGAAAGTTAAAAGAAAGAAAACGAAGAAGTGGAGAAAGAGAAAAATGGAAAGAAAGAAAAAAGAACGAAAGAAAGAATAAAGAAAGTGATAATAAAGAAAAAGACAAAAAAAGTAAAAATGAAAGAAAAAAGAAAGAAAGAAAGAAAACGAGGAAGTGGAGAAAGAAAAAAATGGAAAGATACAAAGAATAAAAAACGCAATAAAGAATAAAGAAAGAGATAATAACGAAAAAGACGAAAGTAAAAGGGAAAGAAAGAAAAAAGAAAGAAGAAAGAGATAAAGAAAAAACGAAAGTAATGGGGAAAGAAAGAAAGGTATAGAGAAAGAAAAAAATTAAGGAACGTAAAGGAAATAAAAAAAACAAAAAAAAAACAAAGAAAGCTATAACAAAGATAAGAAAACAATAGAAAAAAAGAAAGAAAAAATGGACAGAAGGAAAAAAGGTAAAGAAAGAAAGGAACAAAAGAAAGCGATAAGAATATAAAAGAAAGAAAGAAAGAAAGAAAGAAAGAAAGAAAGAAAAAAAAAAAAAGAAAGAAAGTGTTCGAAGACCAACAAAGAAAGGGCAAGTTTCAAATAGAAAGGAAGACAGTGAAAGTGAAAGATTGGGGTCTGTACTAACTTGGCATATCGACTTCAGTCACTTTCTCACCAACATGACATGGCTTCCCTCTGTCTTTTCTACAAATATTTTCATACCAACTGCTCTGACGAGCTTTTTTCCCTGGTGCCCTGACTACCTACATTTAAGTGTGCTACTAGATTGGCATCTGGGTTTGTTCCTTTTACTGTTGAAATAGTTAAATGTAACCGCCACTTCTACTCCAACAGTTTCTTTACTCGCACTTCCCACCTGTGGAACTCCTTTCCGTTTCCCTGCTTCCCCGATAACTACAATCTTCAAACATTTAAATGCAACGTCAATTGCCATCTTCTGTCTTCTTGAATCCCGTTCATATTTTATCCTTTTCTCAATCTCTCTTATACTCAGACTTTTCTCTCACTTTCACTCCCTGTAACCCCCTAGGTACTAGTGGCATTCCCGCCTGGCTTGAGGTGAAATGATTGAAAGAAAAAAAAGTATTGAATAAAAGGAAAAATAAATGCTTGAGAAAATGAAGACAAAAAGAAAGAGAGAGATAAAAGAAGAAACAGACGAAAATTACGTGAAAAGAAAGAAAGAAAGAAAGAAAGAAAGAAAGAAAGATGTAAAAAGGTAAAAAAAAAAACAAGTGAGCTATATATGGAAACCAGACAATACTGGTGAGAATATAAGTCGCATCTGTGTGAGCATGCACTTAATACGCAGTTAAGTGAGTAGCGAAAGTAAGAAACAAAGGAAACGATGTCAAATAGGCAATTTATTTTTTATTAATATATAAAAGGACCTCATTTGCATAGACAAAAATATTGTTTACAATTCTTGCAGCGATGCGAAAGCTATAGCAGAATGCTAGTCAAGATATGATCTCTCTCGGTTGGGCTTAATGGGAGAGAATGTCATGGAGGCCCGAAACCTTCTATGACCCCAGAAAAAAAACATCACTGAAGAAGCATTCTGGTGAGCAATATCCGCATTTAAAACGAACAGAATATATATATATATATATATATATATATATATATATATATATATATATATATATATATTTGATTACAAAAAATTTCGCTTGAAGATGGAAATAGAGCTTAGTACTTTAATTCAATTTAATTCAAATAATTATATTGAAGTTTTCAGCTCTTGTTTTGAAACATGAGAACTCTTATGTAGCGTGTTGGAATCATATTTTTAAATAAATAATTATATATATATATATATATTATGTTCGTTTTAAATGCATATATATATATATATTTCTGTTCGTTTTAAATGCATATATATATATATATATATATATATATATATATATATATATATATATATATATATATATATAAATATTCAACCCCAAGCAAGGCGGGAAGCCACTATCAAGCAAAGGGTTACAGAGAGTTGGGGCGAGAACAAAGATGAGTGATAGAGGAAAGGATGAAGAGACGGTTAGGGGATAGATCATGGCATCTGGAGACGTCGATTGACGTTACATTTGAATAGTTGGAGATTATAGTTGTCAGGAAAATGGGGAGGGGGCTCCACAGGGAAGAAGTGCGAGACATGAACCATTTGGAGTAGAAGAGACGGCTACATATAACTGTTTCGACAGTGAAAGGGTGAGAGCGAGATGTCAGCCTAGTTAAGCGCTTAAATTCACGAAGTCTGGGAACCAGTGAAAGCAGCTCATCGGAGCAATTACCATGAAAATATTTGTAAAAAAGACAAAGAGAGGTAACGGCACGTCTGTGAGAGAGCGGCTGCAAACGAGATGCCAGATCAAGGCCAATTACATTGCATATCCGTCATTGGATTTTATCAAGGACCTTGAGACAATTAGAAGGGACCATATATGGCAGCAATACTCCATGCAATGGTGAATGGGGTATATATATATATATATATATATATATATATATATATATATATTGGGAAAGGTATGAATTCTCTTCTTCTCCCTCCAGTTATGGGTAAATAGCAGGACAGACTGGGTTCTATAGCCTTGGATGGCAACTTGTCTAGGAGAAAGACAACTCTGAATTCAAAACCTGCAGATGGTCGTTTGGGGACCTTGTGGCACTTAGTGCACCAGGTCTCTGTATTCGTCCCTTCAAAAAGGTCCTGCACGAAACCTTCAGCACTATAATCAAATCTCATGTGTTGTTGTCGGGCTGTCGGTTTCCTGGGAACTGATCTGCTGAATTCGACGGGGAGAAGGTCGAGTATATATATATATATATATATATATATATATATATATATATATATATATATATATATATGGCGGGTGGTGGTAAATATGCACCATGAAAGTTGAACTTACATTGAACAGATATAACAAAAAGTGAACTTTGGACAGTTTATCCACAACTTCGGGTGCAATACTCGACACCTTATCAGAAAATTTGAAAAAATTCAAGAAAAATTAAAGACAGAGCTTTATCGGTTCTTTTTAGGAAGAAAAGTTAACAATAATATTATTTCCAGACCAGAAAAAACCAACCGAGTGAGAGATTAGTCATAATGACACGATGCATCCACGCTAAAAAAAAACTAAAAAAAAACTTCCTTTTGAGTTCATACGAAGCAGAATGAAAGTATGTACGTTTCATGTACCCCTCCTCCGATACAATTTCAACATCCTTGCTTTTCTTCTCCCCTTCTATTAAGTTTCGTGTTGTGCGCGTTTATTTATTTGAGGAAATTATTAAGCCAGAATCGTCTGAAGATACCAAAAGGTTGAAACCAAGGTAGCGTGATCGGCTGATACACACACACACACACACACACACACACACACACACACACACACACACACACACATATATATATATATATATATATATATATATATATGTATGTATAGGATGCATCAAAAATACTTTTACAAACATTGGGGACGGGATTCTCACACTGAAACACGGACAAAAATCCATATAAACATATGTCCGCAAATCCTTCGTTTTTGAGTTATTAAGTTTAAAGAAAATTTACGGTAGATGGCGCTTTGATGCCATCTAGACTAGGTTACATTTGTTATTCGTGTACAAATGTGGCTAGACTGTCTTTAACGTTTAACGTGTTTAGTAGTGAGTTATAGACGAAAGTGTGATATAAAATATAAAATGGCGGCATTTTACCCATTACACCATCTATCTATCTATCTATCGATATCTATATATGTATATAACGTGTGCGATAGGTAAATTGTTTCCATCTTATATTTTTATGCGCGTTGTTTGTTTTTGATTTTGTCGACTGCACAGTATGGTAAGGTCGGTTGGACACCGTCTGTGAGAAAAAGAGTAATGAGACGCAATTCACTTCATCAGATATTTGGAAACGGCCCGCTGCGCTGCTTGGCATTCGCGCCGGAAGCTCCAATACGAACATTTCAGAGTGTTTGGGTGTCAATCTGAGTACAGTGAAGATGATTCGGAAAGAGTTGGATGAATCTAAGTGTGATTATGTAGTTCGGAAAATTGACTGTGATCATTCTGATAAGAAAAGAACTGCCGAATATGTTGGTGAGGACCACAGACTCAACACAGAGGCCTACACCAAACGCCTCGAGGAGTTAGTGCTGACCTGGGTCAAGACAGTGGCTGGTGGTAGACCCTATGTTTGACATGAGGACTTTGCACCATGCCATACAAGCAGGAGAACCCAGTCATACCTGTCAGACAATTTCTGCGACCACATCATCCCTTACATCTGGCCAACTAACTCATTAGACTTCACCCCCTTTGATTATTACGTGTGGGACACAGTTGAAGAAGAGACCAACAAACCTCCTCGTAATACCAAAGATGAACTGAAGGTAAGCATTATGGCAACATTCATCAACTTAAACAAGGAGACCGGCCAGAAGAATTGCAGTGGATTTCGAAGTCGTCGTGGTTGAAGCCAATGGCGATTTTATTGAATAAATTTACTCTTTCAAGATATTTTTTGTGTAATTTTGGTAAATATATCTGCTGAAATTGGATTTCAGTGGTATTTTCATTTGGGCGTAATTTAGACGACGATTTATCCATCGCACTCTGTAGATACAGGCTGAGATAGATAGATAGATAGATAGATAGATAGATAGATAGATAGATAGATAGATAGATAGAAGCATGGACAGACAGATGGACATAAACATGGTTAGCTAGCTTGCTAGATAGATAGATAGATAGATAGATAGATAGATAGATAGATAGATAGATAGATAGAAGCAAGGACAGACAGATGGACATAAACATGGTTAGCTGGCTTGTTAGATAGATAGATAGATAGATAGATAGATAGATAGATAGATAGATAGATAGATAGATAGATAGACCGACCGAAAGCATTCACAAAGCGAGGTAGGGCAAGTGAAAGTTGTTAAACTATAGAAATAGCCATTGAATCCTCCATTTGGTAATTGCTTTTGTATTACTCACTTTGTGACAATATTTTCCATTCATTTTCATTATATAAGTAGTTCAGATGCTGGCTGCTACCATTCTACACACCCACGTACCCGACTTACACGTCCCAATAATATACATAAAATTACCAAGTAACATGATCTTGCCGACCAGCGCCCTCTATACATTGCCCTGCCCTACAGACATCATTTGTTGCTTTACTGCAACAAGAAATTCTGTAGTTTTTCTCCCACTGTTGATAATAGTGCCTAATAACAACTCTGTTCTGCTTTCTCTCACAACATAACTGCAACAAAGACGATAATTGCGTTGTTGATTTTTTGCCTTCTTTACCAAATTAGATTTGCAAGAATTAAACTTCATATCTTCAGGTTATAATTCATTGCCTTTTAGTTTCTATCTAACATAAATATAACCTCCGCATTTATTTTTCATAATTCATTTTTTTAAAAGTTTATATGCGTCGTTGCCATTGTTACTTTAATTTGTTATAGCGTTTCTGAAAACTTTTCTTGCGTAGAGTGTTGTGTTGATTCAAATACGTTTTGTCGCATTTTGCAGACGATAAGCAAAAAAAAAAAAAAAAAAAAAATGGATGGTATTGCCTGCTGAAAGGAAAAAGGCGCAATTTGCAAGAAAAAACAGGTAAGTAAATTAATTATATATATATATATATATATAATATATATTAGTATTTTGGGGGTACATGCATGTGTCCATATATCGCAAAATAAAAAAAAAGATTGGTAAATATAGAGAGAAAGAGAAAAATAATAAAAAGAGATTTAAAAAAATAAAATGCTTGGCATATATCGAGAGACAAACAATAAATAAATTAATTTTAAAAAATGGTGGGAGAGAAAAACGGTATATAAGTAAATATGCTGACTTAACGACATGTATAGAGAGGCACATTAGGAGGGATCAACAGATAGATAGATAGATAGATAGATAGATAGATAGATAGATAGATAGATAGATAGATGAAGAAAAGCATGGACAGACAGATGGACATAAACGTGGACAGTTAGATAAATAGAAAGAGATAAGTAAAAATTTGATGAGAGAATCGAACAAATGCATAAACTATATTCAAGAACATACATATAAAATTATGCACACATATAAGATCACACACACACACACACACACACACACACACACACACACACACACACACACACACACACACACACACACAGATATATGTTTGGCACTTCTGGGTTTATGTTGTTTTATTGTTTAAGTTGCAACTGTTTTCACGTGAAAACCATTTCTCATGGAACCACAAAAGAAAAAAAAACGATTGGAAAAATATGTCTATCGACTTACATCTAGTGATCCTTGGGTTGGTTCCATGTCGTACGATCTTTTCCTGTTTGGACGAAAGCATGGTAACATGGATGGTATTGCATGCTAAATGAAAAAAGGCACATTTTGGTAAAAAAAAGAATTATATATGTATATACAGGCATATTTTGGTACAAAAAGAATTATATATATATATATATATATATATATATATATATATATATATATATATATATATATATATATATTTGTATTTTGGACTATATGTATGTGTTCATATATCGCTAAATAAAAAAGATTGCTACATTAGCAAATAGAGAGATGTTTGAGTCGAGAGAAAAAGAGAATTAAAAGAAATATTGATAAAAACATAAAATGATTGACATCTATCGAGAGACGAACAGACAGACAGACATACATACAACAAATAAATAAATTAATAAAAATAATGAGGGAGAGAGAAACAATACATGCATATATATATATATATATATATATATATATATATATATACTGAATTAATTATATATATACTGAATTAATTATATATATACAGAATTATATAGAGAGATGCTAACATACAGATAGATAGATAGATAGATAGATAGATAGAAGCGGGAGAAAACAGATGCACATAAACATGGACAGGCAGACAGACAGACAGACAGACAGACAGACAGATAGATAGATAGATAGATAGATAGATAGATAGATAGATAGAGATATGTTAAAAGTTTGATGAGAAAGAGATTCGAACAAATGCATAAATATGCTATATTGAGGAACATACATCGGAAATTACGTGTACAACTAATATATATATATATATATATATATATATATATATATATATATGCATCGAGATATATGTTTAGCACTTCTGGATATATGTTGTTGTAATGTTTAAGTTGTAACTGTTCTTAATGCGAAAATCATTTCTCAGGGGGCTAAAAAAAAAAAAAAAAATACGCAAACCAAAATAACAAATAGAAAAACATGTCTCCTGACTCACATCTAGGGATCCTTGTGTCGTTCCCATGTTGCACAATCCTTTCCTGTTTAGATGAAAGCATTTAAAACTGAAGAAATCGCTCTGAAACTAATATCAAAGCTCCGGTTTTGGGGGATGCTACGAGCTGTTATCGTCAAGTGCACTCAAACGTGGAGTGACGATGCGATTCTGCTACTGCCGCTGACACCGCTTTTGGGCGGATATACTCATTTAAATCGTAATATACCTTTTGCAGAATAGTAATGGTGATAGGTAAGAAGGTCTTAGCTCAATTAACAGGTGATATGAACAAAATATATACAGTTTGCTCCATTTTTTTTTTTTTTTTAGGTTTCAGTATTTTCTCCGCGTGATTACGTTAAATATTTATTGCTTGTTTTTCTAAAGCTTATTATTATTATTATTTTTTATTATCGAAGAAGAAGAAGAAGTCAAACATTTAGTAAGCAAGTGACGCTGAAATGGAATGACTTTTCACATTTTGCTCTGTTCATCATAATAAATAAATAAATAAATAAAATAAATAAATAAAAATAAAAAAAAGTTCAAAAATGAACTTCACGTTAAATGTAAAATTAAAACTGGTTGCAAATATATTTATACTGTATGTGTATTTAAAATATGGATGCATAAATAAAACTTATAAGAAAAGTTTAGAAGTAACGAAATTCTATTTATTAATTCGACATAATTTTAAACGTTAAACGTAATTGCTAGTGGATAGGAAATAAAGTGTTGTAACCCAGTCTGTCCTGCTATTCAACCCATAGATGGGGGAGAAGAGATTGATTCATACTTTTTCCAAGGGTATTTGTGCGTAAGTGAAAATGGCAACCTACTGCGGAAAAAATCTGCCTCGTCAGTCATGTATCGAAAGATATATGATCGCCTAAGCGTGTATCACGCATGGCACATAACTGACTGAAATTTACTTACATGCTAAAACCATTGGGAAAGGCATGAGTCCTCTTCTCCCCACATCTATGGGTAAATAGCAAGACAGACCGGGTTCTATAGCCTTGGATTGTAACTGGTCTACCGCAGAAAGAAATGGCAACCTACTACGAGCAAAAAATCTGCCTTGTCAGTCATGTATCGAAAGATACATGATCGCCTAAGCGTGTATCACGCATGACACATAACTGACTGAAATTCACTTACGTGCTAATAACCTTGGGAAAAGTATGAGTCTTCTTCTCTCCCCAACTATGGGTTAATAGCAGGACAGACCGGGTTCTATAGCCGTGGGGGGCAACTGGTCTACTACAGAAAGAAATAGCAACCAACTGCGGGAAAAAAAACAGTCATGTATCAAAAGATACATGATCGCCTACGCGTGTATCATGCATGGCACATGACTGACTGAAAATCACTTACGTGCTAATACCCTTGGGAGGAGGAGGAGGAGGAGGAGGAAGAAGAAGAAGAAGAAGAAGAAGAAGAAGAAGAAGAAGAAGAACCTTTAAAATATATTCCTGGTACATTCAGCAACTGCACTCTTACATCCGAATGGGGGACCCGGTCAGTGCTTTGTGGCCTTTTTTTTTCCTACCTATATTTACATACGTTAAAAATTAAACTAAGCACTACTCACTATTAAAGGATAAAAAGATTCGGGTATTTTGACCATATTCTGGGTTCTTCTCTACCCGCAAATCCATGAATTTGTTTTTCTCATGCTAAGTCTATGTAAAATTCACTAATTTTATCCATAACTAGCAGTAGAGCCCGGCGTTGCCCGGGGATGTAACAGTAAGAGATAGATCAAGTATCGACCATCATAAAGACTGAAAAATAAAATTGACAAAGATTATTGTTTAAGGTTGACGGACACGGATGTCTTAATTAGTTTTTTTTATTTTTTTATTCTATTTTTTACGAATTGGTCAAACCCAAACTCAAACAAAAACATTGTTTTCAATCGTTATGAGTCTACCGATTGAATAGAATTTTATTATAAACAATTGTCTTGTAAATGGAATTTTTAAAGCATTCTGAATGTAAAATTAAAGAAAAAAGTGTTCAAGACAATAAGAAACACTACCTGCCAAAAAAAGTGAAGTTTTTTTTAAATCAGTTGAAAAATGTAGGAAATCCGATCCCATATAAAAACGAACACACACGCACACACACACAAACAACCAACCTGGGTTTTATAAGTATAACTCGATACCTCGATATTAATAAGTATATCTCGATATGAGTTGTCCCCTTTTCATTAATGCCTCTTAATCGTGTTTACAAATTGATTTCGTGCAAAAACAATTGTTTTTCCAATTTTTGGCGCTGTCAGAACCACCGCAAGGTAATTTTACGTAGTCCTGTCAAGTTTTGTTGAAATCGGTTGAAAAATGTAGGAAATCCGATCCAATATATAAACGTACAGGCACACACACACACACACACACACACACACACACACACACACACACACACACACACACACACACACACAATCTGCGTTTTATAATAAGTAAGATGTTGAATTATTCAACATTTAAACAAGAAAAATCTCAAGTTGATGTTAAAAATTACCGTATAACATTTTCGATTTATTTAACATGGAATCATCTATTATGACATGTCACTAATTTGTATT